CAGTGCCTAAAAAAACAGTCTCTTCTCTTTCAGGAAGCTGCCCTTCTGCCACCTCTCCGGCTGGGAAAAGGAACCTGCACGTGCTTGAACTGCTGTCCTTCCTGCCACGGCCCACTCATTTGTAAAGCATGCCCATGGCAAGTAGCAGTTACAAAGACTGCCGAAGCAGAGGCAAAGTAAGGAGGGAGATTTTGCCACCCTCCAGCTGTAGTGACTGCACCAGTCAGTATTCACTTGCACTCCACATCAACCACCAGAGCATAGAACCACCTTTATTTACCGCAAGTTCACACAAGCAGCTCTCACCGGGAAAGCTTTCGTTATTCCACACTCGGTTATGCCACTGAGCACACAAAACGTGGGCATACGTTGATCCACGAGCACATTCCCCTGTGCACAGATGCACACAAAGTTTGACAGTAAAACTTCCACACTGCTGTTGCCTTTGTGTAGCGCTGCGACCTGCACCCAGCAGCTCTCGGGCACACGCCGCGGCTGCATAAATTTTTCCCATCGCCTCTTCTCCTCCCGCTGGAGCGCGGCCAAATCCCAAAACCAAGCCTTTCCTCTCAAAAAAACAACCAAAAAAAAAAAAACAAACAGAACCAAAAAGCTGCGTGCTCCAGGTGAGGCTCGAACTCACAACCTCGGCATTGCTCGGCTTTGTACTGCTATATAAGTACCGCGCGCTAACCGATTGCGCCACTGGAGCCCTGACACAAGCTCCTTCCGAACTCTTTATCAAGGACTCGCCGCGCTCCGCCCGGTAACGGCAGCTCCCGGCGGCGCGGGGAGAGCGCAAGGGAAGCCGCTGGATGCAACGAAGGAAGCAGAGCGGCTGCGCTGCCCCGGACAAACCCCCCCCCCCCATCTCTCCGCCTCCCCGGCAGCAGGGCTCGCGAGCACCGCGCTGGGGAGAGCCCGGCCCCCTCCGCCGGTCGAGGAGCACCGCCCTCTGCGCTGCCCGGGAGACCTTGCATCCGCGTTGATGCTGTTTGCAAGGCGCTTTGAGCCGCAGGTCGGTGGAGTTCATCTGCACCCGTTTGCAGTGTTCAGGTCCAAAACGGAGAGAGAAGTAACTGGTGACAGCCGGTAACTAATTACAGCCAGGAAATAAAGTGGTTATCTGTGTGGCTGCAGGAGCGGCTCTGCCCCTGTGTGCGGCCGGGCGCTCCCGAAGCAAGTAGTACGGGTAGAAAGGAATCCTAAAATGACAGTAGGAATAACTAAAAGCAGTGGGTCACCCCCTATGGATGATTCACTGAGGGCTTATTTCACCTTTGGACTGACTTCATCTTAGTGTAAGCACAGGACATCTGTAATATAAAGACATCGCATATACAAGGTCTAAACTGCTTGTTTCGATAGCTGAAGGTTTTGCCTTGCTGTTTTACTGATCCCAGACAAGTCTGGGTTTAAGGGACCTTAAAGCTCCTCCAGCTACAACCCCTGCTACCGGCAGGGACGCCTTCCACTGAAGCCAGCTTGCTCCAAACTCCTGTGTCCAACCTGGCCTTGAGCACTGCCAGGGATGGGGCACCCACAGCTCGTCTGGGCACTCTGTTCCTCTTGGCAGATGAGTGGCAGTTAAGTGTGGCTTCATTACCTCCGCCCACGTCTGACCCATAAATGAGCTGAAACCCTTTAAGTCTGTCTTGAATGGGGACGAGGTGCTTCTCACTAATCAAATAAGTTGTTCTGCTGTTGGTACTATTACTGTCGGTATTACTTAGAATATGGTTTGGCGGTATACACTGTTGACAGGTAGAGTGACACGCAGTTGCTGTATTCGACCATTAATGAAGGTGGCTGGCATAGGAGAAAAAGACAGAAAGAAAAAAAAGAGAAATTTCTCAGAGAAATTTTCCATCCTCACACGGGTTTTAGTTGGCATACGAGAACACACAGCAGCTACCTTCTTTACCCTTAGCAGTGCACCATTACACTAGGAAATGAGATACTCTATCCCACACAAAGATTGCTGTGAAGATAATTTCATCCAAACAAGTGTTTTTTTTGGCAAACGCAAGGACGTCGGGAGGAATCAAAGCCGAAGCTGTGAACAGAGAGACAAGCTGTTTATTGCAGATTTAACCTTAGACTCTGGCAAGAGGGAGGACTCAGCAAGTCTAATTTTGGTGTTTATATAGATGACGATCACTGCTTGTTGTGGTTTAATTAGCCTTCCCATAAAAGTAACAGTGGTAACGGTGAAGATTCTGGTAGCTTTTGTGGGATCTTGAACTCTGCTATTGTGCTCTGTGATACACTTCACACTTGTTTCTTATGTTTGCCCTTGATAGCACGTTTATGAACATAGCAGTGAAATTTGTCCGCATGGGTTAGCCTGTAGGAACACAGCTATACTGGGGTTCAAGTAGCAGGCTTGTTACCGATCTGATATAGTTGTGTTTTTTTTTTAATGAAAAAAACATTTATATTAAAGTGCTTCATTTGTATTTGTTCTCAAAGAGCAAACAAAAATCACAGCAACAGGAAGCTGGGTGAAATGGGTTATTTCTTTGTATCTCTGTCTTCTCTTCCCCATTTCTTCACATAGAAGAAATTAAAGTTGTCCTAATGCTGCAGGAAGTTCCTGCTTCCTGCTGCTTGTGGAATCTCCAGATTATGACTTCGGTGTAGCTTCAGTATTTTAACACTAATGTAGCTAAATAAGTCTCTGTATTGCACAGGGACAGAGAGGCAAAGTTGAATTGAAACTAAAGGATTTTGTCCTCAAATTGCTTTGCTTCCCCCGGTGAAGATTTTTTAGAACACTTGTTAGCACTAAGTAGGAAAACAACAAGGCCTTAAGATCCAACTTTCACAACGCTGTTTGTTTCCTATGGCAGGGGGCTGGAACTGGATGAGCTTTAAGGTCCCTTCCAACCCAAACCAGTCTGTGCCTCTATGTTTCTATGATTCCATCACTTTAATACAGATTAAAACTCCTGGCCAATGAACCTGAATACCTCTTCTAGCTGAAAACATAGTACTGAGCTTATTATGTGCTTTATGTTAACATATCCTGCTTGCAGGACACCAGCTAGTCTTTGATAGTTCTGGTGAATGAGGAAAGTAGAAAAATCAAGCAGGTGCTGTCCTAAACTCTGTTTTTTTTCCCAGTGCCATTTATTTTCCTGTGCCCTCAATGCAGAAGATGGATTATTTTTGTGCAGCAGTTCTGTGCTTCAGTAGTCTTGCACTTCTTTGGCAGCAAAAGCTAACAAATTGAGTCCTTACCTGTACATAAAGGGAAGGATCTGAGCAGAAAATGAGGGCAGAAAACCCAGCTCCTGGAATGGGCAGAAGGATCTGAGCAGAAAATGCTACCTAGGTAAAGAAAATGGCAATAGTAATCTCAGCTTCATACTGAAGGTGGATTTTATAAGTGAACTTCGTGTTTGCTCCCCAAGTAGGTCTAGTTACTGGGTTTTCTTACTTCACTCTAGCCACAAAATGGATTTATCAGCCTATGTCAGAGATAGTTTTCTTTGTACCTTGTATTCTGCCTAGTGGAAAAAAAGTGGAGACTAGGGATTAGAGTGGGGATTGCAGACAACAGCCCTGCAGCTACATCTAGCACAGTAATATTGCGGTGAGCAGGGCTTGATTCTATCAGTTCCAGGATCTGTGTTTTTTCCTACTGTGGCTTTGTATAACCTCTTGGTTTTCGTGCCCCACAAATGGAGTTCTAATGATGACTCCAGTCATTAAAACAGCCTTCAGTTCTCCGGGTCCTGCCAGGCTGGGTCACAATCCCCTAAGTGAAAGTGGATTTTAACTAGAAGATCTCTTTCCTTAGCAGCTGAATATTGTGCCAACAGCCTACAGTAAAAAAAGCACTAAGATTTTCCTGTCTGCACGTCCAGATCCAGGCCTAATGAGGCACTGGTGTCTCACCACAGCCATTCCGGTGGTAGAAATTTTGTGTGCTAAATAAATAATGTAGGGTCTGTTTTGTTTTGTTTTTCGTTTTGTTCTTTTTTGTTTTTATATAATTGAGTGAAATAATAATTCCTTTGAGCTTATTTCAGAGGAAATTCTCACTAGTCACATTGTGATTGTACTGATAGAGTGGAACTCCGATCCGCACGTGGATCTTCTCATCCCACAATAAGTGGAGGGTTCTTTTTTAATTATGGAATACCCCTTTGGCTAGTTTGGGTCAGGTGTCCTGTCTCTGCATCTTCCTGGCTTCCCCTCCTCCCTGGCAGAGCATGAGGCTCACAAAGTCCTTGGTCAGAGTAAACATTACTGAGCAGCAACTAAAAACATCGGTGTTATCAGCACAGTTCCCAGGCTGAAAGTCAAAACCACAGCGCTGCACCAGCTACTGAGAAGGAGAAAAATGACTGCTACTGCTGAACCCGGGACAACCTATCCATATGCATTCAGTCACTAAGCACACTGTCAATATAGTCAGAAGACTAAGCTACGTCAAGAGCAACTGAAAAGTGCTAAAATGTCTTGGGGTTTCTGCTTACCACCCGTTTCACTTATTTCAAGTCCGAAAACAAATGTTTATGCATTTTCTCATTTAAAAATAGTGGTGGTGGGGAACAGAGTGAGCAATCCTGTAGGAACTACGTAGACGTTGAACAAGAACTCATGAGGGAATAAAGACAAACACAGGTCTGGAACGCCTGGTAGTTCTCAGTTTCTTGTTTGCCTGATAATTTGATGCCAACGTGCTGCACTTCCCCAAAGGGCATCACAGAGCCAGGTTCAGCTCTCCAGCAAGCCCTGCTACAACACTGGCAAAGCGTGGATCAAATTAAAGTGAGCACTTGTGGACAATTTTTGTAAGCTCAAGTTGATGCAGTAAAGAGAATGAAGGAACTTGCTGAGGGCAGCATCAGTCTTTGATGAAAATACATGTTTTAGAAACACTAGTCAATTATTAGCTAAGCTGCCAGAACATTAGAGCTCTTTACAAAGCAACCTTTGACTCCTGGACCCATCCCCTTTGACACTGGAGCCCGAAGACACCTCTTGTACCAACCAATCCCCTGAGCTGTGGGGATGGAGCCACATGCAGTTTGCTCACAGACAAAGCCCTCTGCAAGCTTGAGTATCTCCATCAAAACTCTCAGGGCTGGTGGACCATGGAGCTCCTCGTAAATGTAAGAAAATGGATAGAAGATAACAAATCTGCCTTTTTGCCACCTGTGTGCAATAAGCTTATGTAAGTAAATGAAGCTATTCTTTTTTAAACCAGTTCTTAGATATAGTCTTAGCTATAAGAGGAAGCTGCTAAAATGCATACATTGTAAACGCATACATGGTAAAATCAGTGAGAAACTGTAGTTCCTCTCAGACTAAAGTCAGTGCTGTTTCAAAGAACAGGAAATGAAGTGAAATGATTTGCAGTAACTCAGCATCAGCTGTAAAGATCAACTCAAACATAATGTATTTGCCTCAATTTAAAGTCTCTTGTAGGCAGTTAGACTGAGTTAAGGGGATTTGTGTCAGGCCATGTGGCAATAAACTCATAGAAATCCGAGGAGGTGGCATCCACATCCACAGAGGACAAGGTTGAGTAGCACAGAATAGCACCAAATTACAACTTGAAGCAGTTGTTAGAGCTGCTGAGAGTCCTTACATCATTGCAAAGGAGATAAAGCTGCACAAGCAATCAAAACTGGTAGGACTTACCCCTGGAAGATAAGAAGAAAGGAAGGGCAGGGGCACCAGAAGAGTAGGTTTCCAGGGCGTTTCCAGAGCTGTCAAGGAAGGGTAGGGAGGCTGAAGAAGCAGCTTGAAGCTATGAATTGTATTCTGAGGGAGACAACTGATGCAAGGAAAAAGTGTGGGCATTATGCAGTTGTAGAGCATTCATATTCTCAGTGTCAAAGCTCATAAACCCCATTGTAAGGAGTCCAACATGTGGCACCTTCTTGTCACAACATCAGCAAGAATTTCTTTTGTCAGTGAAGCTGAGGATGATGTATTCTGTCTAAAATTATATATACAGAAAGCTTTCATAAGAAAGGATTCTAAGGAGCAATATAAAACCAGGTTTTATAAAGAAAAAGCTGTTGTTTGTTCTGTTTTTTTTTTTTTCTTTCAATGAAAAATAATAATCTTGCTTTACTATTTGAATCCTGAAATGTTCCTGTCTGTAGGTCCAAGTCCAGCCTAATGACTTGGCTGTGCACTGGTGTCTCACCACAGCCATTCCGGTGGTAGAAATTTTGTGTGCTAAATAAATAATGTAGGGTCTGGTTTGGTTTGTTGTTTTTGTTTTTGTTTTTATATAATTGAGTGAAATAATAATTCCTTTGAGCTCATTTCAGAGGAAATTCTTGCTAGTCACATTGTGATTGTACTGATAGAGTGGCTCTTCTCATCCCACAATAAATGGAGGATTCTTCTTTAATTATGTAATTTGTTTAAACTAGACTGCAAAGAATTGCGAGAGGTGAGGGTAAACCAGCCACCCTTACACGTATAGGAACCAGAGCATGGTCCCAGTCCAAACTCACACTCTATTGCTTTTTTTCCACTGGAAAATCATAAGAACCCCCAGATTTGTGCTGTTCCAGCATGCTGACTGTTAACAGCAGCTGCACTGCTCATATGCACAAGCTATGGAGGCCGTAGTACTCATTTTTAAACAAATCCTGCTTGTTTGTCACAACTGGAACTTTTTGATGGTGTAATTAGATAAACTATTAGTGATAAGAATGATTAACCCATAGCTGCCTGCTTATTGTGTAAAAACCCAGCTAGACCCATAGGGTAACAGAATTACTGGTGGACTTGCCATGCAACAAGTTAAGCAACAATGATTTATAGAGCAATATTTTCACTTTTAGTTATTGAACTAATTAAAAAACATATGGGTTTTTATAAAAAAAAAAAAAGAACCCCTCTTAACAGCAGGTTAAGAGCCTTTTTTTTATTGCTTTTCTCTTCTTCTATTCTCCAGAGTTGACTTGAATTTATTTCATTAATTATTAGCTGTGTTGTTACTGATTTGGTCTTCCTGACCTTTTTTAGTAGGAGTGTTTATTAATGCAGAGGTATTACAGTGCGTGCTCAAAACTGAACATTAAATCTGCATGGTACAGACAGATCTGACTTCAGTTCCTTATTTTAGGATGCAGGCATGAAGCCAAGTGCTGTAACGTATACAACTTCCTAACACAGAAATGATCAATTTAAGACCTGTAATCTAATTTAATTCTTCAGATTTTGATTTGACCAATTAATTTGACATTCAAAGCTTATTATTTCTGCTTTACTAGTCCCTAATGTGTTGCTTGTTATCATTTAAATACTCTAAAAAGTAAACAAGATAATGGTAACACATCTCTGGTCACTCGGCAGGACAGTCGCAGAGCAGAGATTCATCCAGAGCTCTTGAGTTCTCATTCTAGATGTTGCTTAGCATTCAGCCCTGTTTCACTGACTCACTGTCCTCAAAGTATTCAGAAGCAGTCTTCAATGAAATAAAGACCATCAGGAGTGGAGGTAGCTTTAAAATGTCACTTTCTTTTCTAGGCATCGCCATCAATTAAGTGTGATGTTTGTTGGAGGGCCAAACGAAAGGAAGGATTATCATATTGAAGAAGGAGAAGAGGTAACCCATAGCCTGCTTATATTTTTCTGTTTTAATTGATCTATAATGATTAAAGTGCAGCTACTTTTGAAGCTACAGATTAGCAAAGCCAGGCTGAGTGATGTTGTATTTATTAGATCTATTGAAAGACTTAAACAGAATCACTCACCAGAACCATAGACCATCTGTGTGTTTCCTTTGAAACAAGCACATGACATCCGATCTGTTTTGCTGTAATTCATTTACAACAGGAAACTAGAGAAAGTTGTCCTGACACATCAAAATGTCTCATTTCAACATTTTGGAGCAAAACTGTGGAAAGGTAATGATATTTCTGAAGTGCTATTTTGTTGCAGAAGAGATTGATCTGTGTTTCAAAAGTAATTCTGAAATTAAAAACACCAGAGTTCAATATTTTGATTGTCCCGAAATTATGATTTTTTTTCTGGACTTTGTGGAAAAGATCAGCATTCTCAGCTTCCATTCAGGGCTGGAAGGCTAAAGAATAGAACCTCTAAATACTTTTCACATCAATCCCCAAATGCAAGATATAGGAAGAAAGAGCGGAATAACTGGATTTCATGCAATCCCAATAAAATTTGGCCACCTAATCTAAAGTCCCTTTGCAAGCCCCAGCTTCAGCATCTACACAGGTCAAGGCAGAAGTGAGTCAAGTTCAGTAAATCCTTTTAAAAATAAATCCTTCTAAAAAGTGTTTCCTTCTCACTGAATCTTTTCCTCAGCTGCTTGGAAAGCACTGGAGAAGAGCTAATCAGTACACTGCTTTTATGGAATATTATAAAGTATTATATATTCCATTGAAAAAAGAGTGAGTGAATCTTGTTATAAAGGTCAATGACACTAAGATTCAGATGGAAGCTGATGATTCCTACTATTTTTTCTGTAACTCAACCTGTTTTAACACAATTCATTTATTTCTTGCTCTGAAGAATCGGTTAGAGATACACACTAAGAGATGAACACACAAAACTGAGCTGAAGTTTAACTCGTAGAACAGTTTGCACTATAATGTTAAATATATAGATATTTTTTTTTCCCTTGTCCTTACAATCTTGTCTCCCTGCGTCTCTCAGTTCATACTGGATTATCATTCATCCCTGACCCATTGCTGTGGGAATCAATTACACAAAGCAGTGTAACATATGAGCCAATTTTGGTCACTTTTATGGAGGTACAGGATAGTCATACATTACATTTTATGATAGCTTTTTATCAGGCACATTTACACCTTCCGGTGGTCAAATATAGATCCATGTTTTTCATTAGAGAAGAATTGTGAGACGGAGTATCCTAACAAACAGGCATATTCCTGAATTAGATTTGGGATTAAAACCCCTAAACCTCATTCAAAACCATGATCAGCTCATTATTTTGTCAGGCAAAAGGTCATTTATAGTTCTGAGTGGTAATTCGGAAGAAAAACTTTACAGCCATCCTATTAAAAGGCCAAATCACAAAGTGAGAACCCACAAATGCTTTATGCAAATGTAGCGTTCATAGACATAACTGCAGTTTTAATGATCACATGGAGCAATGGTATGAAAAAACTCTTAAGGTTAACAATTACTTCTAGGTGGCTCATAACTTTCAGAGGCAAGGTGAGAATTAATAAGAGGAGGGTTTGTTAATCATAAGAAGAAGATGCCACATAGTAAGTGGGAAAGCAAAATGAAAAGGCAGAGGTCTGGGAAATGAAAGGAAGAAAGTTAGAAGGTATAAAAAGAATAATAATTAACAAATAAGCATATTTAGTGACAAAAGAGATGAAAAGACTGGTGAAGAACCTTTGTTTCTTCCTTGAGTCACATTTTTCACCCAGAAAGAAAAATCCATGCCTCATTTTGACCCATTATGCAGTAGCAGTGTACAAATCAAGGCTTTTCTATCTAACGCACTCGGTGACAAGGGCTACTGGAGCATTTCATATGGTCATTCAGTAACACCAGAGAAAATGACACGGAAAGAACCTGGGGAAATGGAGTACAAGGAGGATAAGTAGCTTGGCACAGGACTTACTTATCCATGGGGATATTCCTGGCACAAGGTGAACTTTTGTGTAAGAGCTCTCAGCATGAACTCTTTTCCAGTACGTCTTCAGTTCCTTCTACTGTTTCATTCCCTCAGCAGCATATTTATTCTTCCTTATGTTGATAAAGGTGATTTTTCAGGGGCATGTATTAAAATTTCAAAACTCTTTTGGCAACAATACTGATTCAGAAAATGGATTAAGCTTTTCTAATGTTGGAAGAGGTTTATTTGGGGGTTTTCATATGCTTCAGAGGTTTTTCCTTCCCCTATTTATTTTCCATTTTGCTATGGAAATGGTAGTGAATTACTATAAATAAAATTATTTTCATTATAGTTCTAACGTTTAATCATGTTTCAGACAACTTTAGCTGCAATAGCAGCTACGTGAAATAATCTATTTGGTTTCTAAATATGGCAAAGAGAACATGGAGAGCAAAGAGAAGTTTGGCAAAGTGGCAGAAAAGTAAAGTTGGCTTTTTGAAATATTATTCCTCTGTATTATATAAAACAAGCAAAAATGTGCCCATTATTCCAGGTCAAAGAGAGACCTGCTTACAGACCATAGCGCAGTTCCTGCCATGAAACGTGAGGCTAGATGTGAGCACCTCCTAAGCCACAGCAAAGCTACTCTGAAAACAGAGCTACGGAAAACTTACTGAAGACAGAATTATGGGTTCACTGGATCTGTCCTTATAGGATCACAGAATCGACCAGGTTGGAAAAGACCTTTAGGCTCATCCAGTCCAACCATTGCCCAGCACTGCCAAGGCCACCACTAACCTATGGCACTGAGGCCTCGTCTCCATGGTGTGCGAACACCTGCAGTGACTCCAGCACTGCCCTGGGCAGCCTGTTCTAATGCCTGAGCATCCTTTGGTGCCAGATAGAGAAGGAAGACATGCTTCAAATATGATCCTTTTCCATACTAAGTCGGAAGAGAAGTAGCTGTTGCTGGGATTCAAGAGTATCTGTGGAAACAAAGCAGAACAGCTTCCAGATAAGCTATTATTCCCAAATGAGAAAGCTCCTTTAAAAAAGTGAAAGCACACACCCAAAAATCACATGCATTTGGAGTTTACTTGGGAAAATGACATTTAATTTCACTGAATGCAGTAGTGAAGACTCTGCTATATCCAAAATGAATCTGTATACACAGTGCAATTACCAGAGATCTGAACCATAACATCCCATTCCCTCAAAGACTAATCCCAGAAGTAAAGACTGCACAATGGAATTCCACTGGGTTCCCAGAATGGCTCTATAAGCAGCTGCAGACCTGTTATGTAGATTGTCAAATGTACATAAGATAATGGAAATAATCCATGTTTAGTAACATTTTCAAAAGCAACAAAGATTGGAGTCCTGTTATTGTTAGAAAACAATCTGCCAATATTTGCAATTAAGGTTGAATGTATTTATACATATATCCTTTATATACAGAATATGAAGTGCAGAATGTTTTGAGGTGGTTGCCTTAATGTGATTTTCCTATTCTTTCAGCTTTTTTACCAGGTTAAAGGAGATATGTGTTTGAAGGTAATTGAAAATGGGAAACAAAAAGACATCGTCATCCGAGAAGGGGAGGTAAGATGGGGTTGCTTTTCTGTTACTGTTGTACATAGGTATGTTAAATGAATAGTTTATAGAAAGGATTTAAACATCAGTTTATCCCTGCTGTGCAAGAGATGGGTCAGGATTATAAAAACCCCATCTTGGATGCAGTAAAACAAAACCCATGTCATTAACACAATTAATGTGTTCAACGTTTCCTGATTTCAATAACACATCAAAATGTTTCTGAGCATTTGGGATACCCATGCAGATAGTCAGCAATACACTGAGAGTTGTTATTCCCCTGCATGGCATGGAATCTGCCAAGTGAATTCTACCTGATCAGTCTTATTTACGCAGTCAGGTACATACTGCCCACCCACCCAAACATGCCATTAAGCAAACTGCCTAGAACTTAGAAATGAAGAGGCTGGGCTATTTTCAACCTTCTTTAGTCCTCACAACCAGCCTCTGCAACCACCACAATACAAAAGTGGTTGGAAAAGAACTGTTTATGGATAACATATAGCCAGCTGCACTCAGCTGTTTCTTTTTGTACTAGTGGACTTGCTAAAGCATAGATTGCAGTGCTCTTAATGAGTGCGACAAGATATTTTACTTGGCAATACTACAGGTTATTAGATGTGCTACAACTGCCACTCATTGTCACAAGCTTGAACTGCACTCAGCCTTTGAAAGGATTATTAGATCTAGCAGGGCCAGCCTTTAAAACGGAAGACATGTTAGACTCAGTCAACTTGAGGTCATTAAAATTATTATGACATTTTCAGTGAAGGAAATCTACATTTTCAAACCTATAAACAGTCAAACTTCGCACCGGAGAAGTGCATCAAGCTGACATCTTGGCAGCTACAGAAGCATTAATAAAAAGGAGCATACAGTATCCTTTAGTGGGAAGACTGACACTAGCCCTGGTAAAGCGCAATCATTAGTTCAGTTTTGCAGCCAGCAATTGTAATGACTTGCCAAACTTGGCTAAGGGAGGGGACAGGGCTTATTCCTTCCTTTCACTTCCCGTATATGTATATTTCCTTTTATTCTTACTACATTTTACTTTTATTTCTGTTATTAAACTTCTCTTATCTCAACCCACGCTGCCACCTTCCTGTACAGTCAGCTGCTGGGAAAAGTGTTACTCTCAAACTTCAGCAACAGACTTCTCCCAGACAGATGTTGCCTGTTTACTTTGTGGCTTTGCCTAAGTAGCCCCTCTTGTTTGTTGATTATTTCTGGAGAGAATAACACTCCTCACCATGCAATCACAGGTGTCCACTGTGTTTTCTTGAGCTGACAAACTTGCCTTTCGTTTCCAGTTCTGCCACACAAATTGAGCAAATTTGTAAATTCCAGATGAGCAACTAGTTAGATTTTCCTTTCAGTTGCGTCTGAGAATGGTGATCAAACCTGGAGGTGAGGACCTGGCTGCCAGAAAGGCAATGCCGATTGCAGAGTCAATGCTCATCCTGAACTGAGAAAGCAAGAAACGGTATCTGGGGGGCTGCTGGTACCAAGGTGGGTGCAGCTGCAAAGGGGTAACACAGGCTCAACAGAGCAGAGGAAAAGCAGGGCAGAAAAAGGAGCAGAGGATTTCGCAGGTTGTGGGGCAGGGGAAGGATAACACAAAGATCAGGCTTCCTGACACTGATGCTTTCCCATCTCTTTGAACAGATGTTCCTCCTACCTGCCAGGATACCTCATTCTCCTCAGAGATACGCAAACACCATGGGTCTTGTAATTGAGAGGGAAAGACTGAAGACAGAAATTGATGGGCTCAGGTGAAGTGTAAACTGTCGGTAATCTGTTAGGATTGTCATATAAATTATTTTCTCATGTCAATACAATACTGTATTTTATTTCCCTGATAATTTATCACATTCACACTGGCAATTTTGTACTAATTGTATCCACACATCTACTTATCTATACACACATAAACAGAGAGCTCATTTAGCATTTCATGTAGTTAAACAACGGCCATGTTGAAACGTCTTAAATGTATGTTATATCTACTTACATAGAGCCTGCTTGTAGCGCCTTAAGTTTTAAATTCTCAGACCTCTGTAACACAAATCAAAAGTTATTAGTTTATCAATTCTGGCAAGGAAAACATTAATTCCTTTGTAAGCACTGAAAGCAAAATGATGAAGCTTTCTTGGCAAGCATGTGGAAAGCTGGAAAACAAAAGTAAATTTTCTTAACACTAACTCCCTCTACATTGTACAATAAAAGCCTCTGCCTGGCTTTTATTGCCTTATGAGAACAGTATCTTCAGAGAAATGAGAGGTTTACTTTGTATTCTAGTGGGAGCAGGGCTAAGCCTTCTCCTGTACAAGAATTCATGAGTCTAAGAAGGCAAGTCACAGTAGTAACGTTAACTAAGTTAGAAAAGCTGTGTTGATACTAACTGGATAACAGCTGACAAAAGAGACTTTACAGCTATTACCTATATAGAGTTTATAGCTATAACCTATAGAGATTTAAACCAGCAGTAATAGCTAATGTCTGCCCTTTTGTCTATTGTTCTGGCTGCTGCATGGGTGGTGTCATGTATGCAGAGCTAGAAAGATAGACTTCTTCATTCAAACCAGAGAGGCTACAGAAAGAAAGAAGAAACTAAGAAAGGGACCATTCAAACAAAAAAAAAAAAAAAACACCAATAAAATACACAACAAAACCCAAAACCCATTTGACTGGATTCCAAGCTAAAAGAGAAATCCAGGTAGTTTAAAACCCTGTTAATCTGTGCACTTGTCCCTTTTCTTCCTTTCATTGCAGGTCTGTGGATTGTGAACACTTACGTGATTAAAAAGGAATTTCAAGCTGGAAACAATTGCCCAGTGATTCAGATAGCAGTGTTTATCTGTAATAAAGGAACACAAGTAGCTTTAGGTAACTTTAGGTAAAATAACCTAAACACAAAGTCCGTGAATGGTAGGAGTTAGATGACAAATGGATTTTTAGGGATCCCAGGTACATCTAGAGATTTGCACTCCAATTAGCCATGCTCTTGTGGAGAAATTAAACTAAAAGCTATGGTTTGCAGGTGGAAGAAAACTGTATTAACAAAGCACACTCTTCATTGAAAATATATAATCAGGTGCCTGAAAAGAAATCAATCACTGGTTTTAGTGCCCTTGTTTTCGTACTGACATGATGAACAAAGACACCTGAAGTTTTAAAGGAGAACAGTTTTTGGACCTGCACTGTCCCTCTGTGTGCTCCTGGGAGAGACTGTTTGGGATTTATGACCAGAACCTCTAATCTTTTTAAAACACTCCCAGCCATCTGCAGCACTGTACAAGAAGTCATAAGAAACTTTGAAGTATGCTGACTCAAGGTCTAATATTATGTTACTGTTCCATTATTTATCATGCATAGAGGTCGCAGTCATAAATCAGAGCTCCCAGCATGCTGATTACTGTACGAGTGAAGAATAAGTAGCTTGCACCAGTGTTTCAGCCTAAGTAATGATTACATGCTCTGTGCCATAAGAAGAAACCAAAACCCACTAGCTAATCTTAATCCTGTGGTGAACAAATGGAGGAACAATCAAGCCTGATGTTGGTTGTGTGATCCTAGTAAGGTGCAAAGTCCTTCCCAGGTGCAAAGCTTTCTCCCAGCCAAGGCATCTATAACCTCTGTCTTCTATGTAGGTTCTCTGTGTTCAAAGTTTGTGCTTGTAGCGCAGCTTTTTCCATACTGGAGGCACTAATAACGTTGTTCTCGTCCATGTACCCTAGTTTTGCAAAACTTGAGGAGCCAGAGAGCTCTTAGAAAGTTTCTGGACAGCATGTATATAGATACACATGGCAGTCACGAATACACAAACGTGCACAGTATCATTATATAAAGCCTCTTTTCCCTCTTCAAACACCAATCCAGTGACTAACTCAAAGGACACACAGAACCTAATTACAGTCAAAATATGACTGTACTGGAGCATCACTCCCTTGCCAATCCATGCCATCTTTTTAAATCGGTAGATAAATTATGTATTTGCCATTCCATAGATTAGAGCAACCTTGGCTCGTTGGCCTGGCTTGTCAGCACAATGTTTACTTTTTAAGACATAAAATAATGCAAGTGAAGCACTAAGTTCCTCTTCAGATGGGTGAGCTAAACAACACTTCCCAAATTTACACAAGGGACAAACACCTATGGTTTTAATAACAAATCCAGAAGCCACCTCGTTTTCTTGTCAGCCCATGAATGGTCAATAAGCAAGCTGACTCTTGAATACGAGTATTTATGTCATGGGTGCATGGACTAGCTTACTGGAAAAGGCATTTGGGGACAGTTAGTTTTGCAGTAACTACATCCAAAGTGAGTTACAGGTCCCAAGGGATGATGGCAGCGGTCCTTTCCAGGATTAAATCTGGAAAGCTTGCTAAGGCGAGCATCCCACCCACCAGGTCAGCTAACCAGGGAAACAGACTCCTTAAATAACCATTCTTCAGAGCAAAGTACACCAGGCTTGTGAATATCACACTCTTACACAACGTAAAGCAGCTGTTTTCTTGAAAAGCCTGAAAGGGCCCGATCAGTTAGTTAATAATAAGATTGACTAATGGTTTTTTACTTTGTCAGATACTACGTTGGAGATTCAACTAATGTCCTCTTTGAAAAATGGTTTCACTGTGAAGACCTTGGCACCCAACTTGCACCAATAATTCAAGAGTAAGCTTTTTTCCTGTGGGAATTTTAGAAGAATGGTTAAAGTGATCTACAAGGTCTTCCTCAGTCTGTGACTTACACAGTTCATGTTCAATTTACGCTGCATTTTACATAGACTTATTAAAACTTAATTTTTTAATCATCTCTTGTATAGCCCAAGCTCAATGAAATCAGCTTTAAAATAAAATGAAATCAAGTGTTCCTCACTTCTGTCTGGAACACAGTTTTTGAGCAAGGGAAAGCACACTTCTGCTCAGTGCAACTAGAAGGAATGAAACATTAACACTGATTGATGCTAGGTTAACTAGGTAAAAACACTAAATTGCCTTGGGGCTTCTTTCACTCTTGCTTTAATGCCAGGACTTTTAATCATGATTAATCAGGACTGTGGCAAAAGAGAGAGGCTTTCTAGGAAATGTGTGAGTATCAGCAATTGATTTGTTAAACGCTTCCTAAAGGTGAGCAAGGAAACTGTTTATTGTCTTGAATTTTGGAGGACTTTAAGACAAACCCTCTGTCAATAAAAAAGCTAGAGCCCTGTTGAATAACGTGTGATAGTAGCTGAGGATCTGGTACATCCATTCTCAGCACAAAGCTTAATGGCCAGTATTACTGCCTAGTCTTTGTTAATCTATAGAACATGAGCATGACTTTTTACTGGTGTTTAAATGTTTACTATTCCAGGTTTTTCAGTTCAAGACAATATCAAACTGGAAAACCAAATCCAGGTAATGCAAACTCATTTCAGAATTAGAAAACTGTTCATTGAACAGCAGTGATTCTCTCCACAGAAAATGACCACATTTCTGGAGTTCTTGTTCTGTAAATTAAAGTCACTTTGGGAAGTAATTCCTTTCATTACCCCAACCACGAGTAAAATCCATGGACATGGTTGATTGCCCATGTGATGCCATCATACTGACCTATCAGGTAACTGTGCAGTATAAAATCGAAACCTCTCTATCCTTGAGTGCCATTCAAGTCTTATGCTAAAAAACCTGCATTTCTGACTGTGCAGAATGAGATTTTTGTGAGTTGAATCTACTCATTCTATACCTACTTTTACTCCTTGTAACTATACACTGTGATCTACCCTTGGGAAATAAGGACACCTAGAGAAAGACAGATACTTTTAATTCATGTAGGGTCTGATCCATTGAACATTTTATCTCCATCCTGTCTTGCTCTACTTTTTATTTTGCTTCTGTTTGTGGATAGTGATTGTAACTTCCACACTGGAGCAGATACTCCAGGCATAACTCCTCTCAAGTGTGTGGGAAGGAGACATAGGACACAGAAAGAGTGACTGTTAAAGAAACAAATCTCTTAGTTATCTTTAGGAATCAGATCTCTCCAACACTGTTGCTTTCTATGGCAACCAAAGTCTCTATTGCAAGGACAGTTGCAACTGCACCTTCAGTGGGAAACTAGTTTTGCTGAAATCTTACAATCCTTTTGGCCCATAGGTCTATATGAACATCCAGCATGTGCATGATCCATTGCTATTAACATAAACTATTACAAAATACCACCCACCTATCTTAACTGTGTACGAAAGACTACACTATGTGGCCGCTCCTGCACCTTCAGGAAGAGTTTCTATGGACTATTGGCAAGTGTTTTACTTCAGTGCAGCCTGGTCAGTTCTGCACATGTCATGGCCATGTTCTTCATCAAAACATGCAAAAGCTTAAGCAGAGCAGGTGCTGCCGTTGGGATCTCCAGGACAACCCTTGATTCTCACCTGGAGAGTTCCTGCTCCAGTCAACCAAATGCTCTTGTGAAGGCCACCAGTTGAGTCAATCCCAGTACTCAACCGAGTTTGCCATTTCAAATCAGTCTGTTGTTTCATGCATGGAAATGACTGACTGGAGCACATTCTGCACCAACCAGGAAATTCATGGCTCAGGTGCACTGTATGTGCACACATACATAGCTCCAATACCCAGCTATGCTACTCTTACAACCACCTAACAAACTGCCATGTCGTCCTTCAGTCACACTCATAACTTAAATTCCATAGCTCTTGCCCAGGTTAAATCGCTCTTCCCCTCTCTAAAAAGGTTTTGGAACAGTTGTCCTTAGTTTCCATATTCATTCCCAATATCTTAAGTAAGGGGATTTTCATGAAATACTCTCCTAGAGAAATACTCTCTCTAGTGGAACGTAATTCCCACATCTACCCCATTTCTCAGCTTGATAGTCACCATAAAAACGTCACTGCCTGCCATCTCAGTCACTAATGAAACAAGGTTCTCACTCAAATCCTAAAACTGGGGAAAGGATATTTTGGTGTATGAACATAAACCTTCTTAAAAAGAGGTAACTAAGTCACTGTCACCCAAATGAAGAGGTCACAGAAGAGTCCTGTGGACTGAACAACAACATTACAAGTCCTTGCAATTAGCAAATGCTAAACCACTCAGAAACCCTGCCTGAAAGACTTTGCAGCTGAGGCAGCTTTTGGCATTGGATTTTACTGACTAGGAAATGTACTTCTGCGTTTCTTACAGACAAAGTCTTGTCGCCACCAAGATCTGAATTTTCTTTAGATGAACCACCAAACTGTGTGTATTTTAATTTGATCTTATTTTAAGTAGAGCATGTCACCCATGTGGCATGGTTGGGTGTTGATGGTAGGGGGGTAGGGGCATAGGTAGGGCAGGTACTGTCTCTCACTGTGTGCTCACACAGTCTAGCAGAGGAAATACAGTTTTAGATGAAGCCTCTAGATGCTGCTGTAATAAAAAAAATACCATCTCACACATACCATCCTTGTTCGATACAGTGATTTCCAATCAGCATCCCTCAGCAGTCCCAGTGGACAGCTTATGTATCAGTAACAAATTAATTACATCAGTACAGGAAAAAAAAAGCATGAATGATTTATATCGTTAATATTTTTTCAGATTAGAGCTAAATAACAGGACAATCAGAAGATACGGTGTATCTTGACACTTGGCTTTTAAACACAGAACTCTGAGAAACTGCTATTGATAAATCCAGTACAGAAGCTCTTTCATTGCAATTTGGGCAAGAGCTGTAAAAATCCCAAAAGGCATGAGAGACTTCTATTAAAAATGAAAAAAAAAAGAGGGTTTTTTTCAACAAAATGAAAGAAAAGAAAAACAAACAAACACAGTTATTGTGCTCAGAGATCAATACATCTTCCACCCCGAATGGATGCTCCTCTTGGATTAACTACTAAGTCAAGACAAGAAATACTCGAAACACTCCTGGCTTCACTCTTGCTGTAAGCAAAGCAAAGCTACACGGCAGGCTTTTAGCCTGGGGAACAGCTCCAGTTTTCCAGTTTTCAGTTCTCGTGGACAATAAGAAGCTCAAAGTCTCGATGACGTTTTATACATGAGGAAAATACCCCACATTTTTGGGGTTACAGAACTTTCAGCCAGCAGCGGCTCTCAGTGAGACTTGTGTTTAAAAAACCCCAAACCAACAAACCGAGATGGGAGTAAGCTGGTGGTATGTTCCTTCTGGAGGTGTGTTCAAGAGATAGAGAAGTCATGCTCTGGATTTATTCCCTCAGCAGCTCTTGCTGTCTTTAAGAACTAGAATTCAACAACAACCAGCATGATCTTTCAACACACAACAAGCCACCAGCAGCTTCTCATGATGTTTCACTTCAGATGTATTTTACCAAGATGTGAGCTGGCCTGTGCGGGGGGGGGGGGGGGGGCTGGCTTTCAGCCTTTTCTTTCAGGTTCTCCTCTGAAACCTCAGAACCCCATCAGTTTAAGAGTGCCAGCTGAAGCGCTTTCAGGTTCGTCTCTATACAAGCCTGAACAAGGGCCTCACCTTTCTAAGAGAAATGGAACAAAATTGAAGGAAAACATTTTGAAAGGAACCCTTGATTGCAGCTCACTCCTAGAGCAAAGTTATAAATGGAATCAATCAAGCTCCAACTGCTTTTAGAAAACCACCAAACACCCAAGTCCTGAGCTTCTCTTGATTTATTTATGGTTTCTGCCTCAGCCAACAATAGAGCAAAAAAGCAGGGTACTCAGAAGATATGAAGAGAAAGCAATAGCCATTAAAAACATATATTTTTTAGAAGAGTGACTTAAATACCACGAGATGAAATATAATCAGAAGCATGTATTGCATGCAATCCTTACTTAAGGCATCTTCCCTGGCACTGTTTTGTACTGAATTACTCACCTCTTTTGTTACCGCATGTCAAAGCAAAGCCTGAGAAAGCTCACCCTCCCTTTATAAGTGAGGGTGAATATACTTAGGATATAGGTTGGTTTGGTTTACAGAGTTTTTGACATGAAGGGGGGGGGTTGGAACTTGATGATCTTAAGGTCCTTTCCAACCCTAACTATTCTATGATTCTATGAAGAGTCAGAGCTAGCAAAGCAACTCTTGTTACTTTCAGCTGAATCAGACTGGAAGCAAGGATCCCTCAGGATTTCTATTTCATCCCAGTTTTACATTCAAGAGGACAAAGTTCAGACAGACAAACCCCTGTTCTAATAACAGTGATGGCTCAATATTGTTCACAGAAGTATCCAGAAGTTCAAAAGTGTATCCTGCCATGCTCGCTGAACTAATCCAGGCTTCTTTCATGTGAAATTTGATGGGGAAAAGTGCAAGAAAAGACTTTTCCTGAGTTAATTATCCTCAAGAACAGTAGCGATGTAGGCAGAATGGCAGGAGTTTGTTTCTCCAAATCAATCTAATGATAAATAAATCTGAATTCCCATAAAAGCTTTATTGCCAGTGAACATACAGATCTACGATACAAAAAAAACCCAAACCCCAGTCCTGCAGTGGCTTCACTAGCAAAGCTTTCGTCAGTTTTAGGTGTATCTAGGGTAATTTACAGTCTGGACTTAAAATCTGGTTGGTATTGCTAGAATACAGCACAGACTGATGCTTGTGATTCAGAGCAGACAAAACCTAAGGGCCTGAATGAGTATGAAAAACTGGGTAATTTCTTCAGTCAGTTGGAGTAGAAATACCATACAGCCTAGGGCATGGTCTGTAAACAAATGTTTTCTGGTTTCAGAAGCACTATTAAACAAGTGATAAGGGTGAGCTCAGCACTATAATAATCAGCTTCTGTGCTGTTAATCCTCTGTAGCTAAATCAGTGCAACCTCTGTAGTCTCGTTTCGTTGGTGTATAAAAACAAGCAGATCAAAAGAGAAGAGTGTTAATAGCTGAAAATAAGAGAAACCTGAAGTTTTATTTGCTATGGAGATGTTTAGAAAACTGTTTGATTCTCTTTGATTCACTTCTCACCTTTTAAGGACTTCAAACATATCTAGATAGATTGCTCTTTCTATATTACTTGCTTTTGCTTTGAATACTTGTATTAAAAGAAACAGCATATAAGCATTTAGCTATTAATGAGCGTTCCTCTAGGGAAAAACAACCAGCGGAGGCCTCCAGGACATGACAGTATTCAAACTGACAGAGAGCAACAATTGTTTTAAACTGTCTAGACCCACCAGACTTGTACAGTTCTCTGAAGCACTGTTCCGATACCTGATCAACAACTTGAATATACTCCTTTTTCTTATCATCCTCATGGTCTCTATTCTGGCAAAGATGCTGACATAAATACACTGTTCATCTTCATCCCGTCCTACCTACAACCTTTAAGTAACTCCCAAGTCATTTTCATAGCTCTCCTGAAGCCCACCTGAACTGAAAAAAGTAGAAGGGAACAGAATCATCTAATGTGCATCTCCAATACAGTGTCTCGCTGGCTTCATCTATTTCCCCTCCCTCCATATTGAACAACTTTCCACACCACACTGGTCCCCAGTGAGTATATAGCCAGTACTGGAGATGAAGATCTTGGACAAACCAACCTATCACCAACATTTAATGCACAAATAAAGTAGAATTACAATGTCTGGAGTACGGCTGCTACAATTTGCCATATGAAGACTCCTGCTAAACTTTTTAATGCCAAACTACAACACATCATCCCAAAACCAGGAGTGCAGGTTGCATGTTCTCTGGAGCCATGGATGTTTCAGGAAGTTCATTAGGCTCCCAGAGCAAATCACACCAGTCAAACAAAAACAAACCCCAAAGTCTCCAGGAAGAAGTCTGCTTCTCCCACAGTATTCTCAGCTGAGCCTCCTCAAAGAAAGGCAGAACATAAACTGTAATCTTCAGGAGCTCTCGTTATGCTTCACCATGGGAACCAAGTCACTACTGACCTTTAGCAGACAATGTATATAATAATCCTATCAGGGGAATTGGAATACATGCCCTATAAAGTTGTTTTCCTTTCTGCTCAGACTTTAGTGGGAAAAAAACCCTAATATTTTTAAGAGCTGTGAAGCTCGGAGCAGTTTCAAAACAGGTTTGTCTCCTCTAATAAGGTAGCTTTTTTCTTCCTTATGCTCTTAAATGCTCCCCAGACAGCAACTTCTGAAACAGAAAACTCACTAATGGAGTCAGTCTGGCATTCTCACTAGTGTTTTTAAGGCTGTATAGTAGGAATAGCTCACACACGCTGTACAAATCCTTGTCTCACAAACGCAGTGAGGTCTGAACATCTGTTATACTGAAATACCCTATTCCTCTCCTATGGAAGCAGAAGTTATGCAGAGGCAATTAATGAAGTGCCTACAGTTATACCAAAGGCAGATTCAGAAACAAAAATGAAGACTCCTGATTTTAGGATTGGAATATGGCCAGTATTTATCATTCTTGATTACAGTGACCTAGCTGGATATGAAAAGCCTTGAAACAGATTTATGGCCTATGCCTTGCAATGTTGTTGTTCTAATTTATTCCCTTCCCTCTGGCTGGTGAGATCTCCTCCTCAAGAGGCTGTATTGAAAAATTGCAAAAGCATTTTTCAAAGCCTCCCTCAAACTTTTTTGTTTCAATTAGAAAAAGAAATACTGCTCTTTTGTTTCCAGCATAGATTTAATGACACAGAGAAACGTGCCTAGCAATAATTACCAGGGACAAGTCATAAATTACCAGTCACGCCAATTCTCAGGGCATGCTACAAAACCAAATACAATTACACAGGGAAATGTATGATTACAGCAAGTGAGTGCTGCGTTTTTAGCTAAATGTTTCTGCATCTATACTCACCATCAGTGAAATGAACCAACTATCCCCTAAGTAATCAGTCACCATCAGCGCTTTCACACTAGACTGTTACATGGAATGAGCTAACTACTTGCTTTTTCAAACCTGAAATTACGTCCCTCAGTCCACAGGTTTTATTTGCAGAGGTATTAAAGTCCTACCGGTCTCACTGACATTTCCATTAATGTGCAGAATAAAGCAGACTTTTCATAGGAATCAGGTAGGCACATATGAGAGAAACACCTCAGGGTCTATATTACTGCTGGCACTGGCAATTAAATGTGAACAGCTGCAAAACTCTCACATCAGAACTACTCATTATGATACAGTATGCTTTAAGAGATAGAAGGGACGATTAAAAAGCAGAAATAAGTAAATGAATACATAATGCTAAATACGTAATGCTAAAATAACTTGTGAACTCTTTTATCCCCAGTCTGGACCATTTTACACTCAGTTAAAAGGATAAAAAAGCAAAGAGGATCTAACTGCTCACTTTGGATAAGGATGTCTTCTGCTTTGGCAGAGGAAGGCACCATTCGGAAGGGACTTTCTCACATCCTTGCATGGAGATGAGGTCACAGCATGCAAGGACAGACCTTTTCTGAGGCAGCACAGTGACTTAGAATGGAAGGGCTTCCATAATTAGTAAGAACAAATAAGGTGATTTAAAGATTCTTCCACCTAGAATGTGCTGCTTGCAAGTGAAAGATGGCATGTCACTGTAAAACACAGCATGTCATAAAGGCAACACGTGATCAGTTTGAGAGTTGACATTATTGCAATATATTGCATTTCACATGCTTTATTGCTCTCTTCCTTTGCATCTTGAAGATGATGAAGAAATCTTGAAGAAACAAGACTTCTAAAAGAGCTATGGGAAGAGCTTGGGGATAGCAGGTCTCAAGAAATAACACTCTGGGAGAATGACATGGTCTCATTTCTTGACAAGAGAGCTTAGGCACATCACAGGGGTAGGGAAGAGGGAGCTTCCACGTAACGTGCAAGTTTGGGGTAAGCAAATACACCCTCATATACCTTGTGGGCCAATGGCTGTCCTCTTTATTACCATCAGAAGTATCCCAGCCAGTTCAAACTCTTCCTTAGGTTCCCTCCGGTGAGGCAGTAACTACCTGTATGTTCACTGGCTGTTTCCCTGTGAGGTGTTCACTCCAGTTTTGCACTGCTTCGTGTTCTTAGTCCCAGTACAGTCTCTATTCACCGAAATCAAATTCCCCTAAGACCTGGCATTTCCTGTTGTAAAATATTTACAAATTCATTCAGCAAACACGTCTTCTTGAGCTCAACATGGTATCATCACATTCTAATTGGAAGCTGAAAAGAGCTGTAAACCCCATTAAAGAATGGATTGCTGTGATATGAATATTTAATAGTAATGATCTACAAAAAATGGACTTTGCTGTTGAGCTATTGAATTGGATCTCCTGAACATGTAAGAAAACACTAGATTTGATGTTCCACTCACTGATCTATTACTTGGAGACGCGCAAGACTTTCGGCTAGCTAGCTTAGAACTGCTGTCTTCCTGCATTGTGCTGGCATATTTTTACCTTTACCATCATTAAACATATTGTCTCACAGTATTACTAAAACATAAGAACTCTGGAAACACATGAGCTGTACATAACCTGAGATATTGTTCAAAGCTGGTGTACAGGCTAAGCAGAAATATATGCAACAATATCTAAATAGCACGATGCTGGAATTCTTGACCTGTGGAGATGTATCCCCTGGAGCTGAGCAGGATGATCATGGCATTTTGGTATTTCTCCCTTGCCCTACAGGGTAACTATCTCACCTAGGGCATGCATTTTAGTAGGAAGCCCTACCAAGGGTAATTTTCTGTGGCTTTTCTCAATTCAGGAGTAACCTGTTTTATTCTGATACCAAAAAACCCCAAAACTCTATCGTCTTTATATTACTTCAGGAGGTAAAGATTGCTACTATTAATGAAAAACGTAATCTATTGGGATACTAATTCACTGAGCACCTCCTGATAAAATGTCTTTACTTTTTCTTCTCCTCTGCTGTGTGTGAATAGATGCCATAATATTTTAGGCCTTTAATTTGTATCTGACCCTAGCCAAAGAACTATGTTGCAATAAGGCTGTAGTTGAGCATATCCATAACTTAAGGACTAAGTGTGTAAGATTCCTAATTACCTCCAAAGCAAATGCGATAAACCTGTAAAAATTAAGAAAAAAACAAAACCTGACAGACGTATTGCAAATGTGAACATAAATCATCAGTGCCCTTAAAACTGCTTTGTAGTATTATCAAATTATGAAGTACAGAATGTTCAGACTAGATCCTGTTAATATTTCAGAACCCAGATTAGAATAAACCTAACGTAAAGATTTTCGTTTTCCTTCTGGCCCTTCCTCATTTCTCTGGAGGAGTTTGCTTCTAAGAAAAGTGTGTTAAGTATTGGTGTGAAATAATGGAAAAGTAGGAAGCTTTCTTTAAAACAAAAGAATTTGAAGAAAAGCTTTCAAACAAAAAAGTTATTCTTTTGCTGCAGATTTCTTCAGGTTGCTTTCAGTTTGTCCTGAAGGAGGCATTGCCAAGACAAATCATTTGCAGGAACATGTTGACTTCTGCCGTCTAATAGAAGAGAGAAGACATCTGAATAACAAGAACCTGTGTCTACAATACAAGGGTTCATCCCATCCAGATTGTCTGGACATGGATGTAGCCAGCCAGTGCTTATTCTGACCTATTAAACAGCAGTAGCTTATTCAGTACGCTGCTATCCCTTGGAGGCACTGAGCGCCTCACATGTTGTTCAAAAAGTGAATATATATTGCACAGAGAATGGCCTTCCACGGAAAACCAAAACGATACATTTGGAGCCATCAAGAGAGTTTTCCCAGCATCTAGTCGGCCTTATTGCTCAAAATAACACCAAGGGTGTTCCCCTGTGGCATCTCAGAGCGAACTACTGGGGATCGCTAAGGCACTTGTGCTGCCTCTGCACTTCACTGTGAGCTGGTAAATAACTACAGCTAATTTCATCTACCTGTTTGCTTCACTGTGGTCAGTGTATTTAAAAACACAGAAAGGAGAAACAACACAAAAGCCAGTACTAACCGTGTAAAAGATATATAGAACCAGCTTACTCTACATGGGGATATACACAAGGGGTCACTTAGCAAAGTGCCCAGATTTTATCTGCACAAAAGCTGCTCTGAAAGAAAATTAAGACGGTGCCAGGAAGAACTATGTAGTCTATTGCATTCTGTCTGAATGCATTTTTAACAAGTGTGGGTGCACAGTCCTTCTGACAACACCTTGGAAGAAGCAACTCCATGAAGATACACACACAATACACGCATCTTACAACCTTAGGTCCTGACCATAGCACTCTTTACTGCTACAACTGACTTTTGATTAGATAGTATCTGTAAATTGAACCCTTCAAGCCGTAAGTAACAGTAAAACGTTTGCAAAGACCAAGGGAAGCAAGCGTCAGTGACCACCCTCCACCTTCCTTACAGATGAAATCCTGAAAGAAACACCTTTCCCTCTAAATTTGACCTCTGTTATGGAGCCGTTTTCCTTCCAAGGCTGGTTAAATGACCATCGTGGTGAAATCCAGCAGAAGAAATCCTTGAGTCTGTTTGGAGATAACTTCGAAACAGAGGTAGGAGGGTCTAATTTCTCTGAAAGAGAGGGGTATTTTTAAAGATAAATAGTAGGTGCCTGCTGTCCAGACTGAGGGAATCCAAGCCTAGGAACAGCACGCAGTCGGTAGAGAAAGTCACGCACCCCTACAGAACCACTCGCTCTTAACCTGCCCTGCCCTTTGGAAGCGCCCGTCTTCATCCACTGCTTTGAGTAGCTTAGGGCAGAGGCTTCCTAGCTCAGATAGTTCCATCCACAGAATTAACCTGAACCTTAATTCCATTCATGTCCCTTGGGATCGAAACAGCTTGCTCATTCCACACCCAGCCCCTCCATAGCTACCAAATCAGAAATACTGGCATGATGCAAATACTACTGGAGTGTGCTCTGCTTCCCTGTGTGTTCGAAGAGCATAACTTAACCAAGTCGAAGCTGGGGGTGTCATTACACTTTTCTTTTCCTCCCCCACAATCCACATGAAGTGGAAATAGGGAAAACCGGGCAGCACCAGAGAGCCTGGGCTGCGATGAGCATTGTGCTTCTCAATGTCACTTTGCTTTAGCCAAACACAGCCTAGCCTGGTAGTAAACTAAGCTGTCATCATTCGATATCTGTGCTGTACGCACAGTAGTTTGCAAAACATATTCCTTCCCTGGGTTATTTGGACTCGCACTCTGAGGAATGCAATACATTTGACAGCCTAGGGACAGCGTGGGACTGTCAGGAAGAACACAGAAAGGGCAGATAATGAGAAAAATAAGGTCCGGTCTGCAGCTTTGTTAATGCTTAGAGAAGACTCTTTTCTACTTCGACAGGCTCCTGACAGGGTCTAGAGTTCATGAGGAGGAAGTGCCTGTTCCAAGAACAGAAGCAGGAAGGATAGAGATGCAAAGCTGAGAGTGGGAGGAGGCAGAAGGAATAGATAAGTGAGGATGCAGAGGAGCATAAGGAGTGGCAGGTGTGATCAGTTCCCTTTTTATCAGTAGGAATCAATATGAGAGTACCAAACGTAATGTGAATTTTAATGTCTGCAAAAATAATGTCATCTTCTATGAATATTTTTCTGTAAAAATAGAATGTTTAAAATCCTGTTGGAAGATGAATATGTACACTTCGGTCACTGGGAGGAATCCATTCCTTTTATTCCCTGTTTCCTTTCAAGGTTATAGCTTATGGACCGGGAACAACTGAGAAAAGCAAGAAGAATTCTGATATCTGGATATGGCAGCTGGTAGGTGGCAACTCACATTTGTTACTGAACAAGTTCACATTTCAGTTCAGACTGAACAGTAGTAAAGACTTCTAGCACCAGCAACAGAAATTAAGACGATTACCTTCTCTTAGGAAAGATCATCAGCAGGCACCACCCTTCAGCTTTAAACTATCATGAAAAATAACTGTGAACTATTGCCACCATGAAAACAGTCCATTTCCTCATCTTCTACATTGCAGACAGAGATACTGGCATCCTCCATCAGGTCTTGGTGGGGGTTTTAATACACCCTGCACTGGGTATACCCTGTAAATATATCACAATGCCTCCAAGCGATAATAAAGCATCACCTATTACTTCTACACTATAGCATTTGTGCTCATAGAATCATAGAAGTCGAAGTGAAAGCAGGTAGAACACGCCAATTAAAAAGTCTGAGAACTTGTTTATACTGAAGCACAGTGGGAGGTGAACCAGATGCCTTTCGTTCAGCTGGCTCCTGAGAAAGATTTGCAGCCCAAGGGGAAAACAGAGAAGAGCTCGTTCTCATCCAGAGCCAGCCTAGACTGGGAGGAGGATATTTCTATTAGTTCCTGCTCTGTTGAAGTTCACAGGGACCATCAAATGCTGCTTAAAGACATAAAGATATTGAAAGCCATTTGTTTACAGCACAGCAGACAGCATCTGTGCCATCAAGACCTTGTTGCTGGCAAGAGCCTTGACAAGACAATGATGAATCCATTGCAGTGTGGATGGGCTCCTATGAGTGATTTCTGTCAGCTCCCTGCCGATTTGTGAGCTGCTTCTCAAGACATTAGGAATCAGAAAAGTAGAAGAGATAGGAGGATATCAGAAAAGTAGAAGAGATAGGAGCCTGAGATAGGAGGAGGTTGTTATTTCCAGAGCTGTACCAGCTTGCAGGCTGCTAGGTTAGATTGGTAGCATTGTACCCCCAAGAGCCAGGCAGTGGGTTGCTGCTTTATGACGGGGAACAATGAACCATGTTTTTAGTGATGCTAATAGTGTCGGACAGGGAGGAGCAGCTGAATATTTAGCTAGGCCTCACGAAACAGAGCAGATTTAAATTGCTCTTTCAGTGGAAAAGATTTACTTTCCTGCAGCATCTTCTTTCTGCTAGGAAAATTAAGAGCTGACTATGTGTTCTTTCCCTTCAGGAGGGCACATCGACTGTTGCCATGGATGGTAAAACCCTAACTCTCTCTGCTGGTGACAGCCTGCTTGTCCGTGCCCAGACTATGTGAGTAGAGATGAAGTGGTTCAATGCATGATTTCTCATCTCCCAATAAAACATGTATTCGGTCCACACCAGGCTGCACATGAGCTGGTGCAGAAGCACAGTACCTGTGAAGGCTGTGGGTTTGCAATAGCCTCCATTATTCCTCAGGGCAGAGGTGTCTTCAGGAGGAAACAAAGCTGGATGTTCATTCTAGTTCACCTCTTAGGATTAAAACTGGGGAAAATAAAAAAGAGATGCACTGCCAAGAAAAAGCAGCATGCAAAAGGCCATTCATAAAAGGTAGACTGCACAAGTTCACCCCACTGGCAATCACAGCAGGTCCTCGAAGCTTCAGGCCAGGCTTAATCAACCTCAGTGCAGCAAGATTTGGGGTTCAGACTAAGAACCCAGCTCTCTTCCTGGAGCAGGATGCATATGGCTGTTTCATAATCATGACACAGAGGGTATATGAAAAGGAACAAAACCATTAGTTTCCAGGGGAAATGGAAAGGGATAGTACTTGCCAACTCTCGTGATGAGTGGCAAGAGCTGATAAAGTGCCCACCATGAGGATGATGTATACTCACTGGTAATGCAATGCAGGAGATTATAGGCAGATGACAAAAATGGCCTTCTTCCCTACAGGAAAAAAATCTCATAGGTAGTAGTCTGCACCTTTTGTACAGCACTGCAAACATTTGCTGAAAGAGCTGAAACTGACCTCCGATTCCAACATGCGGTCACCTCCTCCCTTCACCATTACTTCCATCACTTCTGTGAAATCACTTAAATTAATGCCCAGCCCTCCAGTCCAACAGATGAACATGTCTTTTCCAAGTCATGGCACGCTGCACATGCAGAGATCTGCCACCATTAAGGCGTTCATCAGGTCTTTGCAGCAGGCACCTTTTGCACACATCACTTGCACCGTGACTGATCTCTGGCCATTGGAAATAGCTAATATAAGAGAGATGACCACAAGGCAAATACTACTGAATCTGTAGATACTGATTTTGTTAAAATAATACCTGGCACTGAGGTGATTCTGTTCAGATCCTCCCGTCACCAAGATCAGAATGGATACCTTCCTGCTTGGTTCATCTATAACTAGATATACGTTCTTCCTCACCACATCATGACGTTTGGCTTAGGTTGGTGATGGTGCAGAATAATTCCCTTAACTATCACAAGATAGGCCAGGACGCAAAGAGAGCAAGTATATTCAGAACAGAACTTGTCCATTTTCCCTTACTTTTCAGCAGCATCAATGTTCTAGTTATTGGTTTGAGTGTGTGGTTCCCCCCACACACACTGGATCATCTCTCTATTTTCCTAGGTACTACTGGAAAAGAACAGAAGAATGTGTCGCTCTCTGCATTGCTCAGGATCCAAAGCGCAAGCAGCCTTATTCCTAGCTCCTGCGTCAGCTGACTTGGATAATAACTAGGTTTTAACCTACTTGTCTTACCTTAATGATCTGTTAGGCAGAATACCTGGAAATGTGATTAGTCGAAGCCAATGATTACACTGCATTATTGGAGTCAAGTGCTGTGTCCAGCTAAAACTTCCCCCCACCCCCCCAAGTAGTTAAAGTTTCAGCAAAATCTGCAATCAATAATTTTGTTTAAAAGACCAAACAGAACAATAATTCTGATCTGACAGGAAATGAAAACAGATCCAAGTATCACGATTACTTATATCGTAATGTGTATGATACTATCTAGAATAAGTGAAAGGCTTTTCAAATGCAAGTCTCTGCCATAAGATGTAGGCAAGGGGACAGGACACATACTTTTATGCTTGCTTAAGTAACAGTCTTCACTTCTTTGTCTCAGTCTTGTCATTTCTAATAAATTGGGTATAACATTAGTTACCCAGCCCACAGTGGGGGAGCTTTAGTGGGCTGTAGCTTGCAGATCTGCTGAGAAATTTGGCTGAAAGGCCCTATAAAAACCAAAATACTGCTAGAAGATCTCAGCACTTTGTGAATGAGAGAAAGGTGCATTAGTAAAGGGGGAAGCAGTACCTGCAGCAACATCAAGCATTGCTTGGATCACTGCTACACTGACTTCAGGTAACATCAGTTTACCAACTCCAGCAATGCAATATCAATCACAGTGACATGCCACACACCCCACGCTGGCTGCTGCCTCTGCATTATGAAGAGCACAGCACTGCAATACAGCTAACACATCCCTGCGCAGCAGAAATCTCAAGTCAAAAGTAGCCCAAGAAGTGTGTTTGGGAACAAGGGAGCAGAAAAAAACATAATCGGTTTCTAATTGCTGCTTCTTTTTGAACAATGATTTCTCTTGCAGAAAGAACAAGGGTCGGATTTTCTTTTCCTGCTTTTATTCCAGGAGCCCTCCAGAGGGGGGCTGGTTTGGTTTAGGGTTTGGGGGTTCTGGTTGGTTGGTTTTGGGTTGTGTGTTTGTTTTAATTTGTCCTTCGCATTAACACCAGCAAACAGGTTGCTCCAATGTCTGCAGGTATTACCAGTGACTTGTCAGAAAAAGCAAAAAGATCCCATTTCTTGATTTATTCTTTTTTTTTTGTAATGCTAATGATGTTCAGAAAATACATCCATCACCTGCAAAGCTTCTTAAATTGGGATGTTATGTTCAAGTTTTCATTCTTCTGAGGGGAAAGACTCGGGTGGCTTGGCTTTAATCTATAACTTATAGGTAAGCTCAGTGCCTTTCCTAGTGAAGCATACAGCAGAACTTTGCTACATCCTCCTAACAACAGGGAACCTGATTTGAGAAAGTGAGCCTAGTCCTTAAGGCTACCGGGGGTGTCACACATGAAAGGGATCTACAACCTTCCTTTTGAAAAAGGGACTCGTTTATCTGGTTATCCTCGGGTTTGGCATGTGTGCAGAACTGCTTTCTCCTTGAGCAAACAGCTATCGTTGAGGAATTCAGGGTACCAGGATGTTACATTTTCAGTCCACCCGTTAGAGGGCAGCCACAGAAATGTTTCTGTATTTCACACCAAATCCTAAGTGCATAAACCACAGGAACATGTAGAACAAGGTCAAGAATAATCAACGGCTTGCACCCATCCAGAAGCAGAAAGAATAATGAAGGTACCTCCGGATTAGATACCTCCCAGGAATGATGAGGTCCTTTTATGACAACCTGTGCTTGAACACGTGAATTCTACCCACTTCCTATGCTAGGTGCCTCAAATCGGAGCAAGGACCAGACCAGAGCACAAATGGGAGCAGAGAGAACATGCTTTTTATACTTCTTCCAAGGTGCTTAACCACTGTGATTCGGAAGCCTACAACCTCTCTTTATCCAAGCCTTCAAATAGTTCCAGGGGGCTCCTGATCAGTCAGTGAATCTTGCTCATAAAGACCAGTTTCAGACTTAGGTTAGTGGCAAAAGCTTAGTTAGGTATGCTGTGCTGTCTGCAACATCCCCTAATGCAGTCCTGTTAACAACATGCTTGTTATTGACAACACACCATCACAAAACCATATCCTATGCATATACGAGGCATCTTCTTTACAGCTCCTCCTATACAAAGTGCACCTATACCCTGATTTGGGCACTCGTTTTCCATCAGAATTATAGAGATATTGTGTCACTTTGTACTTGATAAACGTACTACATTTTGGCAGATTATGCTAACCTCATTAGTACAGTATTGCACAGACAGTCCATCTGTCGCGCGCTCATTTGCCAAGACTCAAAAGTAAAGCCTTTATACAAATATAATATATTCTAAGCAGCATTGCCATAAAACCTACACATACCAGAAGCCATACGTACACCATATTTCAGAAATCACTTATTACCTTCAAACACATGCAGGATTATCCAGAAGCTGGATACAAACTAGAGCTGACTTGGAAAGCTCAGAAAGACACAAAAAGAAGAGTTTGAGTCTACCTACAGAGGTATTCCAAGCCTAAATCTCACCTAACCTGGAAGTCAGCAGGAGCTTCCCCCTTCACTTCAAATGGGAAAAGGTGATGGGGCCCAATCCTGCCGGTTGAGTAAAGTATCAGGGCAGACTGTGGCTGTTCAGTGCCTTTAATGTGTTTAATCCCAAAGAGAGAAATGGTAAATTTTGTAAAGAGAGTTATAAGTCACTCCTCTTTATCTATTGATACATTTTGTTTCCCATTATTATAGCATTTAAACCGTATAATGAGCGATATAAGCATTATTATGGTACTGCAAATTGAGCAAGTACCTTACATCTTACAGTCATTCTTTCAGTTCATGTAAGTTAGCAATATAGATCAAAACTGTTTAAAGTAATTAGTGCCTCCTATTGCCACTGGGCTGCCAGGTCTGACCTGACAGGGCACTTAGGCTCTTATTTTGAGCTATGCTGACTTGCATGTATTACGGAAATGAATTGGTAGCATCTCACTATGTTTCTCCTTATTAAGTGCCAAAATACGAGACCATAACAAAACTATGTTGATTGTCATCGTTACATTATACATCAGCACTGCTTCAAAACAACTAGTGCTGCTTGAAGGAATCATAAGACTGAAGAAAGGAATAATCCTGCTACAGTAAATAGAGCCTAAGCCTTCACCAGCTGCTTCTGTAATACTGAAACAAGGCCCAGAGAAACCAACTTCATGCAAAACATGTCTGTTTGTGGGTCTGAGAACACTACAAGGAAAAAACAATGACTCTCACAGATCATGCAGTGAACATACCAGAGATCAACAGCAGAGGTCAAGATTGTCCAACAACCAAAGGAAAAAGAACCCCCCCACAGAACAGTTAAGAGAAGACAATGATCTAATGCCAACTACATTTCATCTTGCAGTGCATAAATTGACAGCTTGCAAAAGTCAAGAGAGGAACTCCTCTTCCTCCATGTTTGCTTTATTTTTAGATCTTGCTTGCTCCTTTGAAGTAACAAAATCTAGACTAGGTGGATCAGTAAACCGGTAGAATAAGGTGTGTTGTAGTCAGTGCTTTCCTCAGCCCCACACAGCCTTGACACCTGTAAACCAGTTGTATCTCGTGGCATGAAGATAATAAATGCTTTAGTTCTGTTGTTCAAAATATCCATTGTACTCCGTTTTCAACCCTCCAGCCACGCTTATTTTGTAGAACAGATGCCCAGAAAGCAACCCTCCCACCATCACTGCATATGAGTAAAAAGAAGAAAAACTGATGGAGTTATTTAACAAATTGCCACAAAAACAGCTCGTGCTCGTAATGCAGAGAGTTCAGGGCTTTGGGTTGTCTTTTGAGTTAATAAATCCAGAGTGCACTTGAATGGACAATTCACGCTAACGAAGGTCATCACCTCCTGGACCATTCCTGGCTGAATACACACGTACCTGTAGAGCTACTCCTCAACATCAAAGTAAGCAGAATAATAGCTGGTTAGACCCAAAGAAAAACTGTTGATTTTGAAGTAATACCGAAGAGATCGAAGTTAAAATCTGCCCTGCCACTCAGAGTAAGTGCCTGACCTTCAGGTCCTAGCACCTAGTCTGGTACAGAAAGCTTTTATGCTGTTGCTCTAGGTTAAGTACCTCTCCAAGATCTTTGGCCTGGTAATTCATTGTCTGTTGCATCAGAACCACATGCCAGAAGATTTTAACACTGCTTTGTATTCTTAAGGGTTGATGAAGAGGCGCGTGCACATGGCCACTGAACAGCGAAATGAGAAACTATGCCCCTGGTTTGGGAGATAAAATACACTGAAGCTGGAGAAACACTATTACACTATGCCATGTAACCTTAGAAGCCACTGAGAAAGATACCTTGGCTATGACAAAGTACCCTAAGCACAAGCACATTTGCAGCTCAGCGAGGAATTTGGGTACCTCTTTACTGCATCAAACTAGAGCAAACACATTTAAAGATGTCTTAATGCTTTTCCCCTTGAAGGGAACTAGCTTGCTTAGAAGGCAATGCTAAGGCTTGTAGGTGATGAAGCCTGTACTTCACTCACAGCAGACTTGAACTCTTCTCTATTGTGCTTCCCATAATCTCAAAACTGTATGCTCTGTGCTTGGAAAATGAATTTGATGATGCAATTGAGAAAAGCAGCTAAACACATGACAATGTAGAACCGAGTCTGGAAGGCTTCACCGCATGATTTCCAAATACCGCCGGGGTTTGATCCTGAAATACAGCCATCGCACCCTACCTAGCTTGCTCTTCCTCTGAGAAGAGGTCATTTATACAACACTCTGCACACTTTGCCCTCGGGAAGCCACTTACCTTGAGCCACAGGGCCCATACTTTATTTTTCCAAGAAGAAAGCAAAGCTCATTCTCTTCCTGCAGATCACAGCCAGAGCCTCAGAAGTGCTGACAGAAAGCACATTATCCCCCAAAGCCATTGTTCCAGTGGCAGTCATTTGCCTGAACACATCTGTGATTTGAGCTGTCTAATAGCACCTTGACCATGTGACAAAAGGAAGGTGAAGGACGCATTTCTGCCCTGGGGAGATAGCATCAGCAGATTGCCAAAGCTTTGTTTATGACAACCTGAGAGAAACGTTAACAGTTACTGATTGCCTCCTGATACTGATAACTAACAACCCCCATGGTTCAAACCCTGCATGCTTTCTTACTGAGAGGCAACTAAACAATCAATGGGCAAGCCCCCTTATCAGGCAGTATCTTGCTGGGAATGGTAAGCACTGAATGGAACTGAGTAAAAGCTTTGCAGAATGACCAAAACCTGCTAGATTACTTTTAAACCAAGACAAGAAACTTTTAGCCAGCACTGGAATCAGGTTGCCTTATCCCATCAGATTTAATGTTTAAAATTAAAATCAACCGACTCTGGCTTCTGTTTCCAATTCGGACAACAAAGTTCAGCTATCTAAAGCTATTTCTTCCATCTTTTGGATATAAGCTAGAAAATTCACACCCGATTTGTCACTTAAAGCAATTTGCCACTACTTACATCTTTGCCATTTTAGATGCAGCTGCCTTGATTCATGCCACCATGCTAACAAAACCAGGCTGCTACGCTACAATAAAGCTTATGTTGCTTTGCTGTGTTCTGCATCCCCCAAAACACTCCTATGCACAGCTGCTTAGCGTTTATTTATATTGTGTATATACACACGAACATGTAGCTACACAAAAACACACCTATATATATATAACTTGTGGGTATTTTTATGCAGTAATTAGCTGTATCTTGCCCATACTGGTGAAGTTTGTGCCAAGCATACCGTGTGTGCTTGGCGTTTTGTTAACATGACTAGCCTGTTATTGGCAGGAAGAGAGACGGAAACAAAAGGTCATTTGTATTTATGTCAGACACAGGATGTTTCAGAAGCAGCTACATCTGTGCCCTCCGCGGGTTGGATTCACTCCAGGCACACTGCTGGAGGGCAGCAAAAGCAGATCAGATAAGAGGGAAGCACTATCCTGGGCTTCGCTGGAAGCCCACTGCACTAAATGCTCCACCGAACCCAGCCCTTCCGCAGCATCCCAGGCAGCGCGGCCATGCAGCTCACAGACGCTCCCCGTGGATGGCCAAGGGTGGTTATCTTATTATCAGCTATAATCGAACAGAAAGGTTTCGTGGCATTAATTTCCTCTATGGCAAAATTAACTCTACTTGCAAAGCTTCCTCCCCCTCAGCGGGAAATCAGATGTAGGCTCGGAAGCGCAAATCCACAACGGTATTTAAGTGCCTGAGGAACCGTGCCAGAGTGTCTGGCAGGGGAAGCTACACAGACTTAGTTTTAAAAGGGAACATAGTGAATGGAGAGAAACATACTGAAAGCTCAGGAGAATGAAGTACTCCTTTTATCTACCATGGGGGGAGCTGCTAGGTGGCAAACTTCTTTCCTGTCCTGTCCTTGCTCATCTGAGTGCTTTAAGCCACCACCAGTGCCTTCTCCACCTGTATTTGAGACTGGCCTTTGCTGCAATTGGCACCAAGTTAGGCACAGCTGCTATTTCCAGGGCATCCAAATCAGTGCAGTGGGAGCTGTACAGAGATAAATAGTTCGTGTGATCGTATGAACAGTCATCTGCAAGTTCCTTACCCTGCAGCACTAATAAAATCCTCTTTGTGAAAGGAACCAGTATTCATCTCGGTTAAAAACAAGATGCATAGAAACAGCAGAAAATATTATGAAACCCCATGTTATGGCTTATTTTATACAGGCGGCGTGTTTTGTCATTAAACTGCTATTTTCCATATTTATTTTGTAACATTCTGCACTGAACCCATTTTATCAATTTCCTCATTCGCCTGTATTTGTGTAAGTGCGTAGCTAATGGAATTACCCTGGGCTCACAGCACTGCAACACAGGGCAGCCTGGCTCTCTGTCTACAGAGGCATTATAGCTAAAGCCTGACACAATGGTAAAACTGCATCAGCACATGAAGGTTGCTTACCAAATGGCACACTCTAATATGACACATCTCATCTGCAGTTTGTAACTTCAGTCTAATAGTGTGTCATATTCAAGATGTACGGATAAAGTGTTTTGTGCTCTAGCACCCTTATTACAGCTGAGTTAGTCTTTAGAGGAATAGAAAGAACTGAGAAATGATGAGCTCCATTCTATTGAAAAGGAACAGCTTCCAGATATCAACGTTCACATCCAGATACATGGAGGAGACAACACTGGAGAGCAATGAGAACATCTCAAAAGTCAGTTAACCACCTTCTTTCTCTTTATTTTGGAATTCAACTCAAAATCAAGTGTAATCTAAAGCATTATCTAAAATAAGCCTGTTGATCATCTAAGCAAAGAAGAGTTACCAACTGAAAGACTATTCCTATTTTCCACTTTTCACATTTGATCCTTGCCAAGAGTACATCTGCTCTGCAGAACACATTCAATTGCCTCTAATTCTCCCATATTTGTATGCCTGAAAGCTCAGCATAAAGAAGCCTTTAAAAACCGAACAGGTTCATCTGAAAATACTTTAGGGGATTGCTTTCTCAAATACATTCATTTACCTGATTTGAAGAATCAAGGTTAGGAAACACATGCTAGAACCAGTAGCAGCTGTTGTGCATGTGTTGTAAAGGCTCACAAAACCCCTTTCACTGTAGTGCCTGATGTGTTTAGAGAAATAATAGACATAAGTTATCTGCCATAAGGCCTTCACTGATGAGGTTCATGCTGAGGATTTCCATGGCAACTACTTAAAGGAACATAAACGTTCATTTCAGAAATTGAGAGCCCAGGGACATGGCTGGTTACAGTGATAATACCACGTAAACCACCTGTACAGGAGTTGGATCTTTTGTTCAGGGCCAAGTAAACTAACTTCCCTTTTCTTCCATGGGAACCAACTCCAGAATTATTCACTAAACTTGCAAAAAAAAAAAAACCAACCAAACCCAAAAACCAAAAAACACAACACCAAAAAAAAAAAAAAAACCACCAAGAAACCCCAAAACACTGATGGCTTTTATCAAATATCTTGGAAGAAACAACAAAGCATCTACATACACACATATAGCTGAAACAATGAGTTCCTTCAATTGCCTAGTATACAGTAGTACATCAGGTAGCCTATAGAAAGTTTACACGGAGAAGATAATACCAGAATCAACCCAAAGAGGCACAAAGCCGGGTTTCACAGAACATTCCAGAGTCTACTGAAATTCACATGCACAGAGTGCTTAATGGTCATCAAAACACCTTAAAGAATTAAGGTACTCACCAGTATACTGAAGATAATACAACAAACTGAAGTTCTGGCACGATGCAGCGGCGAAGAGGGGAACCAAATTAATGAGCATTGCTACCGAGTGAAGAAGAAAAAACAATCTAACACTTGTTTTAGCAAAGATAAAACTGGAGCAGCCAGATGCTTCGTACCTGCTTCCCTTCCCTCCAGACGTGGTCTATGATTTACAAGGCATGTGTTAGGGGTAGGGCTTAAGTACACTCTGCCAATTCCAACCTGCAGACTATTAAGAGATCACGACCAAGAGCATAAACTCAATCCAAAGTTAATTTATAATGGGATAGGGTTGATAGGAAACAAATCCTAAAACCACTTGGCCCCAGCTGATCTGGTCTTCGTAGTGATTGCTCTATCCAGCTGAAAGTATTCACCTCACAGAGCTGATGGACAATACCTTTACTCATCAGCCGAAGTCATACTTCAAAAGCTCTCCGTCTGCAATATAGTGCAGTTGATATAGATCGTTGAAGCCAGCTAGAAAAATAGAGTTTACTTTTATGCAATCATCCCAAAGAATTTAATTTCAACTCAAGTAAAGTTCCAAGGAATACCTAGGTTTTATGTTCTGTTTAATTCTCACCTCTGTTTTAGACCTCCATTAAAACTGCGTAACATTAGTTTCTTCAGGAAAGCAGAATAGTCTCCTGTTGGAAGTTTTCTCCATTAAGCTGATATTACTGTCACTTCATGGAAGGCCTGAACAGATGTCATTTTTTTTTTTTTCTATAAGGGTTATTATTCAGAGCTATGCTCATGGAGGCGGTTTCTTACGGCAAAAGTGACTGGAAATAAACGTTTTTTGTGATACCTCATTTTCCCATCCTGTGACTAGTCAAACAATGACAAAACCATACCGTTCTTTTTAAAGGATATTTAAGGACTCATTCACGAAAGAGATAATTGTGGTAGAGCAATGAAGGAGGATCAATGAGTCAGACTGTCGGCAGCCACATCACCTGGAGGAAGCCACATACCACATGGCAGTGATAGGCAGCAGAACCTTTGCTGCGGGTGCCCTTCAACTGGGACAAAGGAAAGGATGAGCCATGCTAGAGAAGAACAAAGGCAGAGTTAATGCTCATATTCCTCCACCTACTCATCAGCTAGTGTCCTGAAGGCAGGTGCTGGGCACAGAAACAACGCCGTTGCCTGAGCTGAGTGTGGAGGGGATGGTTTATCCTTGCTGCCTCCCAGAGCTGTCACTTCCTTTGAAGCTGGGCACAACATGCCATATGAGAATGGCACAGTGTCCTTATCTTCCCACTGGGTTCATTAAGTGATTTTCTTCACCAGGGATGAAAATACTGAGTTCCCGAACATGCTATCCGTAGGTTTTTCACTACAAAGCATGCAAATAAGACAAAGAGTGGTCCCACGGGACTGCTATTGGTGCCTGCTCAGAGGATTTTTCCCTTTAGGATTCCCTGCCCTCTGGGAGAAAGCTCTCTCTGCTTAAGCTTGTGCTACTGCTAGAGACAAGGAAGGAAAAGCAAAGCTGCACAGAAAGCAAATCCAGCTATATTTGAGTGATCAGGAAAGCAAACACTCTCATTTAAGGCTCCTGTGCTCAGCAAGGCACTGTGAAAATTCAGATTGAGACAATCTGTTTTCTGAGGCTTGTAGGCTAAATAATAGAAAGCTAGCAAAAAGGAGCTGCACAATGAGCAGAGAAAGTCATCTGACAAAAGCCTCATTAGCACTCCCATTGCCTTCACCCACAGCGTATGTTTGCTGCTTCTCAGAGCTGGCGTCTCAGAAGGGCTGCATCCTCTCAGTATCCAGCAGCAAGAAGCAAAGACTGAGTGAGAAACGCAGTGATCTGAGTTAAACAGTTATTGTGTTAAAACTAACCGCTATGTTGTGAAAATTGAGGTGCTGACTGAGAAAAAGGCATCTGGAGCAGAGCACAGATGACTAAGGAGAAGATTCCTGCCACTTTAACTGCTTTTGTACCAAGCGTATTACCTCCTGCTGTGTAAACAGCAAATTAGCAACGTTCTCAGGGTGAGCAGTAATACAGCAATCAAATCATTCCCTCCAGCTATGTAGCACCAACTATGTGCTCTCCTGGCCTATCTGCTCCGCAGTACATAGCACACTTGGCTCTGAGTATACTTAAAAATGCCCCTACACTGCAGGCACTATTAAATTCCAATTATTCTGTCCCTTTGTACTAATTGTGAAGCTTATCAGCACTTGTGTTTCCATTTTACAGAGAACTGTATGCCATGCCTGGCGGCAGTAGCAGGGCAGTCAGTGAGCCAAAATGGGACTTCAAGACCTGTGCCTACACACTGATGCTCTCTCACATCTTCCACAGCTGCTCCAGGGCATTTGAAATCCAGCATTATCCAATTCCCTTCAAAATAATTCTTAGCATTAAAACATAACTTTTACCTAATTGCCGTTCTTTACCCATATTCCTACTTCAATCAGATCAGTTTCTGCAATATTACTGTTCTGTCACTACCTCGCACCTTAAGACCCTTCATAATCTGAGTACATGCTTTATCAGCATGTTGAGACATTGTCTGTGGGATCTTAATTCCCATTGCAAAAGGAAGCTGCGCACATTCTGGAACTGTGAGCGTAGCACAGGTTCATTCAGTAAATTGCCTTGGATTAATTAGCCTGTGATCCAGGATGCATCTCTGTTGCTGAACAGGGAAATGCTGGAAGCAAGATCTAGAGCTGTTCCCATTCTCAACCTGCAGCTCTGTTGTGGGGTGTTCCAACCAGTGCCCTTCAAACTTAATGTCCTCTGACATTCCCCCACCATGGTTTGCATTCTCCATCGCTCCTGGCACACCCTCATACCACATCCCAGACCATAAAACATGTGGCACAAGCTCCTTAAGTGCACCATGTCCTCTCAGTAAACACACCGTCTTTTAGGCCAACAGAGTCGGTCGGGATTTTCATCTGCATAAACAGGAGCAGGATCTGACCACCACACAAATTATACATGTTCCATTACAGCCATCTGTAATTCAATCTCCAAAATATTAATCAAGTTTACCTGACATGATTTTTCCTCCATCATCAGCTCATGCTGCCTATTGCTTCTTGGTCTGTTTCCCTTAAATGCTAGGTTTTTTTACTCGCCTTAATATTTATGCCTTTAAACAGTTTGAGTTCGATTCAGTGGACAACCTTTTTAATGATAATACCATATTACTGTCTCTTTAATAATGCTATACAGATCATCTGTTTGCTATCTGGCTCTCTGTGGTCTGGCCTTTCTTTGCACTGCAAACATAACATGGTATGTTTAGGTTTAGCAGTACATTTTGGTATTATAACTCCCATCACACTGTATCACAACACTACCACAGTCCAGTCTTGGCTACTGATTCCACAAAAGTAAATATGGGGTTGTTTCACCAGAACGTAAATTTGCAGGTTCCAGATATTACAGGATTTTGAAAAACATCCATTGGGCTTCCTGGAAACATCTTCTTTCTAATTCTTGTTAGATCTCATTAACTATTCTAAGGAATATTTCAATGGAAGTGAAGAAAATTATCCAGGTGTTTTATTGATCTAGTAGATATCTTTGACTTCCCTCTAGTTTGACCAGAAATGGTCCACCTTGCTTGATCTTCAGGTCTTACTGATGCAATGTATGGTATGTGGAGATCTCCATTTCACCTAAGAATCCTCTTATATCTTGTTAGTCTTCTCATTACTCAGCACAGAAGAGTGGACCAAACCAGTGATTTTTCTACAAAAATACATACACTGCATAAGTCTACAATTGCTTGAATAGCTTAGCAACAACTACCATTGGGTTGAGCCAATCTCATTTCCCTCTAGAAACAAGACAAATGAAGGAGAAATAGTAGGTGTCTTACTTTGACCGCACCAAGGCCCTAGAAACTGGTTCACATAGGAGAGTCAAGAAAGTAATGTCAAGGGGAAAATAGTCCCAGTGGAACTTCAAGCAATACTTAAAACTACTTGAATGAGATACTGAATAAAACTGTTAGCCATTGACTGGCAAAATTGGCATGCATTCAGTGCTGTACAAATCCCAGCCAATTGTCCACACGAATACTGATTTTAGTGCTGATAAAATCTGAAAGGTTAGGATTAGTGAAGCAGTGTCTCTGTATCAGGTGTTTATTCTTTCTGCCATTCTTCAAATGGAGCCTTCAAATTAGAAAGACTTGACCTATTCATCCCCCCATACAGATACCATAACGTGTAAGAAGAAAGCTTCTTTTACCCAACAATACCAAGCAAAAATCAAGAATCTTAAATGAAAATGACCTCAAAGCGGCCAAAGGGCAGCCAGTGTTAATGCTGAAGTACAACAAAATCTCCACTGACGTTTTCTAGTTCTGCCACTGCAGCTCAAGAGGACATAAATCACTGCTCCATTCCCCAGAGGGCAATTTAGCCTTCTTCTTAAAGGAATTCCAAATCCTGGTAAACTCCAGGCAGGACTCTACACGTTTAGCCACTGCTCCGCACATATTAAGCATGCCTAGATTTTTAAATCTTTATAGGTACACTGACTTCACATACAGCAAGATGGAAATTACCTAAACTTGGCCTCACTATGTGGTCCAGCTTATTCTTAGAATAAACCCAAAGTAAGACCAGGTAAAGTTAGGGGAATTAGTTCTGATTTCAACAGCAGGAAGTCATAACAGAATACAGGTCCTAACCAAATGACACATTTACAAAGGTTTTGTTGTATCTGGTGTAATGCCTATTATCTTGGATGGAACAGGTTGCCTTCTGCAAGAATTTCAGAGGTTAGCCCTTAACGGTCAATACTGGTACTTTCAGATACTAAAAATCCTAATTCCTAAACTGATTTAAAACCCATATTTTGTAAAAACAAAAAAAAAGTATTTAATATTTCCAATTTTACCCTTCTAATTCAAGGTTTAACCCATCTCATTTCCAAACTTTATAGCATTTTCTCAAGAGCTAGAGACATCTAGGAAGCAGGAAATATGCTGGAATTTATTCCTCCCAGCCTTCCCGTCTCACTGCCAAGTATTATATGACTGAAGCAGAGCTGGCAATCCTGGCTATCAGAATTAAAATGACAAACTGGGTGTCTAGGGTTCAAGACCATAATCCAGCCGAGCTGTTTTTCCTTCCCTTTCCTCATATTTATAAGAGCATCTGTTCCTTCAATCTTCATAGTGAGCAGCGAAGTTGAAGAAATGAGGCAATTTTCTTTGTCTTTACTCACTTGCCTAACTGTCTACCTACCACTCGGTACATGAGCACGTGAAGCCCATTTTTGACAAGCCATGAGCCATGACCTTGTTATTTTTAATGGAAAGAAAATACAGACTTTTCAGATTGCAGCGAGGGGGATGATTACAGAAGGCACTATTTCTAACTGCTGCCAGCTTTGCTGAACTTGGCTTAGTAAAGGAAATATAAATGCATGAAACATTTCATCATTAAGCTCTCCTGCCTTCTCCTTATCAATAATTAGTGTGAGCAGC